CTATAATATATTATGTTTAAAAAATACATATTTATTTCTATTGTATTTTTAAAGAGCATGTACCTATATATACAAATACTAAAAACATTGTTTTTCTTAACTAAATATAAATAATATATAGAATAAATAATAAATACCAATAAGTTTGTTAAATTTAATCCCATGCAATTCAATACTTTTTGAAAAGCCATCAGCAATAGCATCTGCCTCCATCCCAGTTGCTGAACCTTTCCAGTTCAAAAAAACATCTGTGTTCGGATGCTATTGTGTTTTTATTTTTGGCACGCTCACACACGACACAGTATCTATTTCTGATTCCAATAAAAAGAATTTTTTTGGTATTGTAACCTATTATTGTTGCCTAGTTTGAAATTATAAGTAAAAATATTATTAAGTTAAATCTAATACCTAATCTTAAAATATAAGATATATTATTAATTTCTTACAACACCAGAAAGAGCATCATATTTAGTTTTATAGCTTCTTTTACACCAAGCTCCATCAGCTACAACTGTCACCATTGGAATACCATCACTATCAATATTACCTTCTATTATTGCTATTTTCTTTTCCTCCTCTCCTTAATTAATATATTGTAAAGTTTTATAAGACAATTTAAATTTAATGAAAGTTAATTTTGTACTACAAACAAACCAGCTAAACGTATTTCATCCCATGATGTTTCTTGTATGTATTCAGTTAAATTAGCTTCAGTTTTTATATATGTAGAATTGGTCATACAAGGGACGTCAATAGATGCCGCAAACTCTGCCAGTTGTGAATAACCAGTACCAACTGCAATAGATCCACTTACGGCTGCTTTATTAATGGCAATGTACTCTGACTCCGATTGAAGCTCAGAACATAATTTAAATTTTGTTGAACACATTTTGCACTCAAAATCCCATTCAGAATAAAAGCCAAGATTTCGTTCAGAAATGCATTGCATATCCATAAACGTACAATCAAATCCACCTTTATGCCTACACTGAAAAATCTGACGAAATATAAAATTGATGTCAACAATTCTTCTACCAACGAATTTTGAAATACTGAAAAAATATTTTAACAACACGTGTTTTATATACAGCTTCGTAGAGTATTTGGAATCTTTGTTTTTATTAATTAAATATTTTAATCATACTATAAAACTTACTCATAACTAGTAGAAACAAAAATATCAGGTTCCTCATTTTGAAAAGTAGTACTACACGATACGTTCATTATTTCTTCATTAAAACTATTAAACAATATAATATTCAATTCCTATACTATATGTTTATGTGCATTACAATAATATTGATTATAATTATGGTGCTCAGACGTATTGTGTTACACTTAATATATACACATGATTAATATTTAATATATTAAACTCCTTACGACGATGTGTTAAAATTTATAGTAATTTGAATTATTTTAGGATTTTTTGACTTTTTAAAATCTTACTTTCAAATTCTGATCACCCTAGTTAGAATAAAAATTGAATGCACTTACTCTAATTGAGACAATGATTGCTCCGTTGTCAGTGGTGTGTCAGCTAAATTTGCCATTGGCTCTTCGACATTACTATTGAGATATAAAATTAATAAAAATAGATTCATGTACATATGAAATATAGTACATACCAAATATATAAAATAGCTTTATGAGCTTTATGAATTTATTTTAAAGTTTAAAAAAAATGGTATTAATTTTTAACTTAACTGAGTTAATAAAAATCATTAACTTGCCCAGTCTATTTTAAAATGTTTGATAAGTTTTTAACACGTTTGTAGAATAAGTAATATTCAACTATTGCGATTTTAAATATATAGGTAATTCATGAAAAAATAAATTTAATAGCGATTTTTTTACGATTTTAACGAATTTTGTAAAATTATAATATTTAAACGTTAGGTTAGTTAGGTTAGGTTAATCGAGAACTCGCTCTGCTGTATAGTAGTTTGAAGAGTAGAATAGCGCGTTTGAAAACTAATGAAACTTTTTCAGTTTTGACCCCCCGAAGTACAATATACATTCACTTTACTAACCGAAACCATCCCTTATTTTTAAGATTAAAGAACTTTTACTGCTCCAAAACTTGATGACGGATACAAAAAAAAACACATCATTGTAAAATAAACACATTAATCACTCCGTTCAGAATCTAAAATACAAAGAAAAATTCTAACATATGCATAACACTAAAATAATCAATACACTTTTTTATGTACTGCACTATTCTGATTTCGTACTGCACTAACAGTGTTGTATTGTACACTATTTTAGATCGTGCTAATAACTTACCCCGAGAAAGAATCGACTAGTTTACCATTTGAGTCATCTGTCACAGTAATACTAATACTATTAGATTGAGACTCAACATTTTCTTCTGTTTGTTGAATGTCTATTCTAGTCAATATAAATTTTCTATAAATTAATTAAAAAAAAATAATTGTAAAAATTACATACCTATTTTGTAAAATGTCTTCATTTTAAATTGTAATAAATTTCAATTAGAAAATTACTTACAACCCTTGTTTCTTTTTTAGATCTTTCATACGTTGACGTATAGCTTTATTTCCGACTGTCCTTTTTTTAGTACGGAATTTTTTGGGTGACATTTTAATATTTATTACAGAATAAAATACAAAATGAAACAAATTTCAACAAACAATAACAAATTAAAAATAACAATTAAACAATGTTGAATGTTGGCTGTTGAAGCACTAGACATGTAGTATTGTAATCAGGGCCGGCGCTACTTTTTGCGAGGCCCTGGGCAAAACTTTTTAACTTATTTAACCAATAATGCAATAACTATAGTTATTTATAGTTTATATTCTTATAAGCTTATGCCTATATGTAATTAAAGGCAACAATTTAATAAAAAATAATAAAAATAAAACAATTTTTTAAATTAAGTTTAATATATTAAAGAGTTAAGCTCTTCCAAAACATTATAAATTTAAACAAAAAAAAAACAAAATTATTATTGAATATTTAAAATTTTTTCCTTGACTTTTTGGACGCAAACAATTCTATTACATTTTTAAAATCCAATGTATCTGCTGTTTCGTTTTCTATTGCAATCGTAGCCAATTCAGTCAATCGTTTTTGAGATATTGTGTTTCTGAGGTAATTTTTGATTATTTTGAGCTTTGAGAAACTCCTTTCTGCCGACGCCGAGGTTATTGGTATAGTTAACAAAATTCTGAGTGAAATTACGATGTTAGGAAAAGCAGTAAAAGCACCGGGCATTGTTTTTAAAAAACTTAGTGCTTCTATAGGTGTAGAATCTTCTTTCATTGTATGACGAAAAACTAGTAACTCTTCATACAATTCAGAAGCAACTATATCATATAAATCTCCATCACTCAAATAATTTTGCAAATCTAAACAATTCTTCATTAGGTCGTCATTAGTTACTTTTGAAAGTTTACCAATATTGTATAAAAAGCTGAAATTGTTGTTATAAATTTGAAATTGATTAAATCGTTGACTAAATGAAGATATAGCTCCATCGGCTATTACATTAAAATAAAATGTTCGGAAATTGTTTTCAGGATCATAATTTATTTCATCAGAATTTTCATAATCAAATTGCTTTTTTGTCTTTCTAATACGCTTCTTTTTAAATGTTTTGTCAATATTCAAGACATCTGATATTTCATTAGCTTTAATTTTTGAAGATTCAAAACCATTCATTCGAAATGATTTTAAAAATTGTATAAGACCATTTAAAAGGTTACTACATTTATCCAAATGAATATTAATATTTTGTAAAGTTTGCTTACAGTATTTACTTCGACTAATATTTCATACCAAATGATCAAACTAAGAATAAATTCATAACTTTCTAGTTCATTTGTAACTAATGACTGAGCTTCGCTTTTCGTTTTTGGATCTGAAGTATTATCAGCCACTTCCTCTAATGCGGTAATAAGTTCAGGTACTTGGTAGCGTATAGCTTTGATACTGTTGACTTTACATTCCCATCTAGTTTCTGAAAGGGGTTTTAGTATTAAGAATGTACAATGTTTTTTAAAAATACCCCAGCGTTTTGTAGAAGATGCAAACAAACAATATATTCTTTGTATAGTGCCAAAAAACCCAACCGCTACTGTGGAACTCTTTGCTATATCGCCCAACAACAAATATAAATTATGACATGCACATGGTGAAAAATATGCTCTAGGATTTTTTGCTATTATTCTTGATTGAACCCCTTTGTATTGGCCTTTCATATTGGCACCATTATCATACGCTTGTCCACGACAATCTTTTAGATCAATACCTATCCTATTTAATTTGTTCAATAAAATATTTGTTAAATCATATCCAGTAGTAGAATGAACATTAATAAATTCAATAAAATATTCTTTGATGCAAGGTATTGTAGACATACTTTTGTTTCCCATATCTAAAATACGAATAATTATAGAAAGTTGCTCTTCTTTACTAACATCTGGCGTGCAGTCCATCATTATAGAAAAGTATTTAGCTTCTTTGATATCTTCTACAATCTGTTGACGAATTTGTTGTGCTATAAGTTCAATCAGTTCATCTTCTATTTGGTGACCTAAATAATGATCATGAGTTTCACCATTTTTTATCCGACGAACATGTTCTTGAATAACTGGATCAAATTTGGCCATCATCTCTATGAGGCCTAAAAATTTACCATTATGTTCCGTATAAATTACATCTGAGGATCCCCGAAATGCATCACCATGTTTTGCCAAATAAAAAATTGCTGATAAAATTCGTTTCAGTACATCTTTCCAATATTGCTTTTCTTTATCTATTTCCTTTAAATGTAAATTATCAATAGTTTCGTTTTGAATAATTCGTGTTTGTAACTCCTTCCAAGATAGAATTGTTTGTTTATGTGAAGATGAATTTTCGTGTTGTTCCAATTTTAATGCTATATGTTTCCAATCTGAAGTGCCATTGTCAGTTAAGCTACCAGGATTTGGAATTTTTAATTGTGAACTAAAAAGTTTGCAACAAAAACAATAAACTCGATCATGTGATTTTGAGTACAACAGCCAATTTCTTGCTATTTTTTCACCATTTTTCATTATTCTATAATACAATTTATTACTAAATTTCCTTTTTTGTTCATTTTTCGGATAATTTTCGTAAAATTCGATTTTTTCAGATTTACTAAGAACAATTTCAACTCGCATATCATGGGTTAATAACTGTGGCCACTGAGCTGGATCTCTAAAATCAATTCTTCCTTCTTTATTTTTATTCACTATTTTTTTATTAAATGTTAAACTATTATCTTTTTCAACTACTTCAATACTATTTTGAGTCACAAGTTCTTTGGAACAACACGGTTGTTCTATATCACACAACATTAACTCATCTTCATAATTTTCAGTTTCGTTTTGGACAATCTCCGGAATATTTGAAGAAAAAACAAATTGGTCTAAAGCACCACGTTGCTTTTCTAGATTTTGCTCAAGTTTAAGTTTTCTCAATCGTTTTTGGTGGCCTAAATCAAATTTACGATACTTATCTCACTGCCGACTACTCATATTATCTAATTAGTTTTTTTCTGTTTCCTAATAACGAATTAAAAATAAAAATAATATATTAAATATATTGACAAATTACGATGTTTTTTACACTATACACAGATCAAGATATTTCGTGTGTACCTACACGCTCAGAAAGTATTTAAAATCATTAAACTAGGTATTCAATATTTTAACAATTATTACCTGGAGAAATAAATTGTAATTTTCAATACACTTCAAACAACCTGGATGACAGTCGAAAAACAATTGAAAATCTTCGGATTGTCACTAATCGTTAGCACACAAATTCTCAAAATAGGTATATTAAATATATTAAATCGTTTATATAATATAGTAGCTATCGACGTTATCGAAGTATAGACAGTATAGTCGGCATATTATTATGTAATTTACAGACGCAATAACGACTCACGATGTGACAGCTGCTCGCGATAACGGGTAATGACTAAATAGAAATGCGATAATCTTTCTAGGAATCCAGGTTTCCCATACCGTGCTGCGTGCCATACCGATTGACGTTGGTGTATACATATTTAATATTATATTACATTGTTGTTTTGTTTTATTACAAGATCTCCATACAAAATATTTTTCAATGTAATTTTTAAAGCGCGAGGCCCTTGAGAGCGCGAGGCCCTGGACAAATGCCCCGTTTTGCCCCCCCTTAACGCCGGCCCTGATTGTAATACGCGTCATCCAACGTGTCGCAGCAGTATACGTATTATACCAAATAATATAGATTTCTATAGTAGTATTATAGTATTTGATTATACTATTATTGGCAGTAGCCAGCATAGACATAATAGATTATGTCTATTATGTCTATGCCACTCTATGGTAGCTAGTCACCAAAATTAAATTGTTTCATATCAAAGCTATTCCTGGAAATTATTACGGGCGCGCTGATTACCGATAACCATAGCGCGCGGCGCGGCACGGCCCAGACCCGAGCAAATATAATTGCCGTCTATCGTGGTGGGGGAAATCGTATTCGATGTCGCAACGACCGTAGGACAGCAGCACACTACAGTAAACAATATTCAATAAAATTTAAATCTTTACGTAAAAACTGTTTTGCGCGGGAAAGAACCACGAAAGCTACAATCATAACTAAGTAACGAAATTTTCACACTGCAAACAAGAGAACTTTGTCTATGCAATGTCGTTTTTATTTTTTCGATATCACTTCTATAAAAAAGTTATTTAAATCTGAAAAACACAAAAATGATTTTAAAACAATAAAACTTTTGCAGTGATATCGAAATAAAACGAGGTTGCATAAGTCCATTTTTCTTATTATTTGGTGATTTGTTTCTTAATTATGACTGTAGCCGTCCCGGTTTTCCGCGCGAAATGGTTTACAGACAAGTATAAATGTGTAGCATCCTCTTAAGAAAACAGCCACTTGGCGAGTGACGATCATTTTGGCAACGATCATTTTCGTGTCTCCGACTGTAGTTACGAACGTGGTGATGTATATTTATCTCATCTTTCATACGTCTGCCAATAACGATAATATAGGTGATCAATATGTGTATATTTTTATCAGCACAACAACCACATTTCAACGAACAATCAGTTAATAAAGTAAGTATTTACTATAAACAATAAACAAGCTATTGCATTTAATAAAATGCCGGACGAAACGAATCACGTATGTATTTTTAATAACTTTCATGGGTCAATTCTTCCTTAATAAGAATCATTAATTTAAAAATGTAATTAATTTTTAGCTCATGACGTGTTTATTAAATTTTAATTACATTAAACTTATAGAACACAAAACAATATCATCGCTGCAGTACGTTTTTGACCTATACTTCAAAATGACAAGTGATAAGCTTTCAGTCCTTATATAAGTTATTTAAAACGTGTAATTCAACATAGACGATGCTAAGTTACTTATTGTGTATTAGAAATTTCTCTGGCTATAATAATATTCGGTACCAACTAATAAATCACTCTTACAATCAATTACAATATGATATATCAAACCATTTTAAATTGGAATTGTTTACAACCGTAGTACTATATCGTCCCATGTTGAATTTTACAGGTTCAAATGATATTAT